AGAGAGAGAGAGAGAGAGAGAGAGAGAGAGAGAGAGAGAGAGAGAGGAACAAGAAGAAACAACACCCAAACAGAGTCAAACAAAAGATGTAATAAAGCTCAAAGCTAACATTAGTGAAACAGAAAAACAAAACATAACAACCATAGCTTAAAATTGATGGAAAAAAAAGTTCATTGTAAGGTTTGTTGTGTAAGTTTTCTTCCATTGTTCCTTGTCATTTTCTGAGTGTTTGCTCTAGATTGTAAGTACAAACACTGTATTACCTGATACATATTTTTGTCCAGAGTGAAAGGAGGTGGTTTGTATAATCTGTGTTGCTCAGAAAAGAAACAATCAAAACGTTCTCCATATATTTGCTCAGAAAGAAAAAACATACAAGATTGACAAGGGACAACCTATGAGGCTCCTTACTTACAATCTCCCTTTTATCTTTGTAAAGATATAGAAAAGCAATATCACAATTTTATTGCTAGAAAACAGAAATTCAAAGACATCGAAAATACATTCCCAGGGAAAGCTACCCAACACCTAGAAACACAATAGACATGTGCTTGTTTTTCTTTGTATTCGGTGATGGACGCTGAATTTAGGGTCTCATGCAGGCTATGCAAGTACAATTACCACTGAGTCACATCCCCAGCACAACAATGGTGAGATTTACATATAATTACGTAACTAAAAACTCATTATTTCACATCTCTGAGAGAAAAAAAAATGTTCCAAAATAGAAACATGCAAAAAAACTCTTCTAGGCTAATTAAACATTTACAGATTTCATTTTGCTCCCAATCAAAATGTATTTCAAAATTCATTATAGTCCTCCTCTACCATCTGTTTTATGATAAAATATCTGTGAATAAAATTTTGTGAATTGGTTATTTTTAGATGTAAAATACATTCTAGTTTTTTGAAATGACATTTTGGAAAGAAGCTTGGTTTCAAAAATGGTAGAAAGACTTAGACACATTATTACGTGAAACTACCAAGTGACTATAAATGTTCGGCATTCAAACTTTTAAATCACCTACATCTCTTTCTCAAAGAGATGACTATTGTCAATTTTAAAACAATGTACTTAATACAGTATCCAGTTTTATTAACACAAATTTTAGAATATTTATTAAATGTCCATGGACAATCTGTGAATGAAACAGAGTCTCACAGGAGAAAACTGAATGGCCTTTCCATATAATAATTATACTAATAACATCTTATCTCACTTGTGGAAGAATAAGTCTCGGAAACATATTCGGATGAATAATCTCAAGATAATCATCATTTTGGCAGATGGATAAAAGAATGCAGAAAGTCAGTTAAAGCCTGTTTGTGTTCTCAACGTGAAAAGGGCAGAACAGATAGAGAAGGATCTTCATATGGCTCAAGACACAGGCAGATACTTTGTGATAGAATTATAACCCACGCATTTGGGGAAAGATACTAGGGTTCAAAAATTAGTATATGTCTTTTGTATCTGAGAAAAATATTTTCAATGTCTTCATCTCCAAAGGAAAAATTAAAACTTACATAGGGTAATTAGAATACATTATGTGATTCATATGAGCCATACAGTATTATGCCTACCCTATGGAAATTGCTCAGTAAATATTATCTTTAATAATTTAAAAGTTATTGCTATTACTATAATTTCAAAGCCATTATCATCCTCTTCATATCAGAATACTCTATAAGCCTAAAGCTTACATAAGTCTACTATTACATCCAGCTACACCTAAATTTCAGGTAATTATTTTAGCAAGTAGTTTTCATAAAATCTAACTAGAATGAACAGTGAGAATATATGTTCTTATTTGAAAATGCCAGCTAGTACTTTTCATATATTGTAATTATGTACCAGAAAAATAATAGTCTCATATACTTGCTACGTAAACATACTCACGACAAGTATGCAGAGTCCTATGTTACTGAACATAGGCATAGACACCCTAAGAAGCGCAAAATGAGGTGAGCTGTATAAACACTATATGTACTTACACCAACTGAAATGATCACATCGTAAGGTTTTATAGTCCTATGGTATTGCGGCCATGCATGTGGCACACTGTTGACTGAAATGACATATGTCGTGTATGATGACACTTAGGTACAAATATATAATCTAAAGAAAGATGACATAAGATATCTTCGGTACTTTGTAGGATGGAAATGTTTATATGTGATAAGATTGAGGGTGTTGCCCAAACAACAACAACAACAGCCCAATAGAGATGTAACATGATATCTGTGGGTCTTCTCACTATCTCCACATTCAGTTACTACTCTTGGCCACTCCCTGTGTGTACACTAAAGGTCTGGCTTGGAAGAATTACCTATGGATCAGTGGAGGCAATAGAGGACCGACAGACACCTACTTTTACTGGTTTAAAAACCCATTCGAGTTAATGTAATAAGAAGACACAGCAGCTTTAAGCTAATTTATCTTTGTGGCTATATAGATATGATTCTAGATGGTTCTATGTAGTAACCTAAGACTCCAGCCCAGATGGGAGAAGACCAGAGGGCTGACAATGGGCAAAAGAAGGATTAGATGAACACACGGTGCCCCATTCACTAACTGTGCCCTTATAGTTTCTGGATAAAGAGTTGATTGGAAACCTATGCAGAAAAATTGATGTGCTGGACCCAGAATCATTCTAGAATGTTCCTCCTCAATTATATAGAGTTGAGAAAAAAATGGTAATAGGAAATCTTAAATGAGTAATTTTAGGATTTAAATACAATGTATAGAAGGGCCAGGAACTAGAAAAGAGATAAGAGAGACATATTCGTGGAAAAGTATGAAATTAGGAATGTGAATGTTTGTGATGGACACTTCTGCTCCAAATTTTATATTAAAAAAAACTTAATAAATTCTTTTAAAAAATATGTTTAGTTCAGAAAAATAACTTCAGAATATGTCTACAGTTCTTTTATTTTCTCATAAAAGTAAAACGTATGATCTATAGTAGCTTAGGAGGATTACTGCAAAAGCGACTTGTGGCTCAACTCAATAAACATGTTTTCTTGCTTAAGGAAATGTATACACCTTTGTTGGAAGAATAATATTGGATACATTTCCAAATTGATTATTCCCTAGAAAAGGGACTGGGCAATGTTCCTCAGGATGGAGAATTGAATGGACAGGTAAAAAGACTGAGAACAAAATACCAGAATTCAAAGCAAAACAGATGTCAACTTAGTGACTGCTCATTGACCTACCAAATCACAGACTTAGGAGCCTCCTAGAGGTCCTTCCACTTTAGTCCACAGATCTTCAGATACCCAGAACCCCATGATGAGATGGATACAGGCTGATTTTTCTCTTCGCCACTGATTTACTTTGAAACAATCTTGCAAAACCAAAGTAAAAGCAGCACACTAGCCCTTACTCCTCTTGCCTTGGTGAGTTTGGATTCTTAGGGACATTTCCTTGATGAGTTTCAGAGACCACAGAAATACCGGTGAGCAGGTTCATATACTAAATCATGGTTAATGTCCACTGTCAAACAGACTGGATTTATGGGTACCTAATGACACACAAGTTCTTTCAGAGTTTTATTGAAGAGGGAAGACCCACCTGAATGTATCACAGTCTTACATACTAGTATCCTGGATTAAATATAAAGAAGAAAAGAAGGCCAGCATGGTGCCCACTTTTATCTCTGTCTGCCTTGGTCTGTGGTCACATGTAGCCTCATAAACCTACCTCCTCCTTTCCTGCCATGACTCAAATTAAGCCTCTGAAATTAAGCCTCTGAAACTGTAGACCTTGGATGAGTTCTTTCTTCTATAAGTTGCCATGGTCATGGTGTCTTATCACAGAAAAAATAATGTAACTAAGCTATATACCTTCAAAAAGGCTCTGCAAATAGAAAACAAGATCCTACTCATAATGATAACCAAGCTCACAAACACAGGGTGCAAATATTCCTACCAAAAAAATTCATCACAATTCAGAAGAGAACAGTATCAGAAGCCTAGTGTCACCATGTATATTAATTCTCACCTTGGAGCAGGGAAAAAAGAGCCAACCAAACTCATAATGCAGCTTTCAGAATAAATTGTCTGTAGAGCCTAAGAACAGAATCTCTGTCACCCTTCCACTTGTGACAGACTAAGGTGCTGACTCTCACAAGTGAACTGTAAAAGCAGTGTTGTAATTAGGGGTAAGTTCACAAGGGGCGTCATACATGCTATGGAAGAGAGGAAGCCTCTCTACAGCCTCCCTGCCTCTATTAATGATACAAACAAACTACTCCTGCATTCAGTCAGAAAGATATTGGGATCCATTTTCCCATCGTGGTACTATTTCCTTAGCCATGAAATCTTCCTACAGATGAAAACTACCCAAAATACAATGTCAAACATATGGCAAAGAAATACACTGTTTCAGAACAGAAAGTTAAACCTTATACATGATCCCGTCGAGGACAATTTATTTTATTATAAATTATTCTATTATAAATATGCTTACAATAAATATATAGTAATCAAGTGACTATAAAAGTGTTTGAAAAGATATGTTTCACACTAACTGATTGACCACTTGCAGCCGTAAACTACTAAATATTCTTCCATATGCAGTTGCTTCTGGAGGAGTAATTTTTAACAGCATTATGCATTAGCAAACAATTTGGATGCTATCGAAATATTTCATCTTAGTAATGTGCAGTTCTGTATCATTTGGAGAGGGAAAAAACAAAAACAAAACCTGTGACTTGACATCTTCGGATTCCCAACAAGTTCACTGCAGCAAATGCCTCCCTTTGTGTAAAATTACACAAATTTTGCATTCAGGGCGAGTATTGATTTTGTTAAGAAGAGTTTCAAGTACAAATCAGACTATTCTGAATAACCTCTGAACAACTTAAATCTTAATTCAGGTCCCTTCCAACTTCTGTCTCACGTCTGAGTGTCCCAGTTCCCTGGCTAGCTTTCAAAGGAAGTAAACAGGACTACTTGCAATGGTAACTTGGAGTAGAGAAAACACTGGGAGCCCGTACCTGATGCTGCTCATACTGCCTGTGTCCGAGCCCAGCTTGCATCGCTCCAGCTGGCTGGCCACGATCTGGCGTTCAGCCTCCAGCTCTCGGGTCAGCCTTTCAAACTGTAATTCCTGAAAGAAACACATCACAGGGATGAATGGTAGCATCTATATGGAACATAAGTTTAGAACCGAGACGACGGGAGAATGGATGGGGAGAGCAGGGTTTTTCAAGGTATCAATTTTCAGAAACAAGATGCTGCTGGAGAATTCGGCAGGGGCTTGAAAAGTCGACAGATGTGCAGGGCACTGGTCCCAGCACGCTGGTCCCATTACACTGATATATGCTATTTATTATCTGTCTCATCATCTTTAAGATATGCTAAAATACTCATTTCATAAGCTGGAAGCGAGAAGTAGTTGAGATAACTAAAGTGGTTTTGCTACTTAGCTATCATTTTTATCCTGTCGTTGAACAAGTAAAGTTATAAGAAGTCATGTATTCAAGAAAAAACATTAACAGTTATTATTTACAATTTCATATTTAACTGCTTCAAAAATTAAATTATGGCACAGTTATATTTTGAGAATAAAGAAAGAAAAAATAATATTGCAACCTGAAAATAGAGAAGAGGTAGATTTTTGGAGAACTCAAATCTCTCAAAGGTTAGTGGATTTATCTTTCCAAAACAGTCCACTATGTTATCAGCGACCTTGAGGTATTTGTGGAAGACGTTTTTATACCGAAGGTTGTGATAGCTCCTTTTGTGTTGTTTAAAAATATATTGTCCATAAAAGTGAAATTTGTTTAAATGTTGACATTTTTGTAGTACTAAATTATAAGACACTTTGCAAATGAGAGACTTGTCTTCTTATCAGAGTGATAAAACTGGGGACACATGTGGATTAAGTTTAGTCCTTCCCTCTACATGTTCTGAAAGGCACCAACTATTTCAGGTAAAAGTGAACATGAGGACCCCTGTTCGATGAGTCTCAGACCTGTAGCCTGGCCTCCCCTCTAACAATCAATTTCCTTGGAAGTTTCTCATCACATCAATATCCAGTTTCTCATTTCCAGTCTTAAATCTGCCCATGCTACAGGAAGCCAAATCGTACTTTTGTATCGAACACACCTTTACGATCTTACCGGCCAGACAGAAGTCTCTGATTTGAATTTAAATTGCTGTATTATGGTGACATAGTACAACAATCTATTCCACAGTTCAAAATCAAGTTAGACACACCTAGGGCACACAGCTGGCTTTGCAGCTGCTCTTACTGTGTGCTTTCTTCATGCCAATCTGATGGTCAAGAACGAGGGCAGACCATTACAGGTCAGGAGAGATGGGAGACAAGCAGCAGTTAGGACTGACAGAAGACAGTCAGCAGTCACGAGAGACAGGAGCCAGTTCGGTGTCAAAAGTGAGGAAAACCACTCAACACTCAGGGCCGTGGGAAACAGGATCACCACCAAGAGTGAGTCAGTGATCAGGAATGGCCACAGAGAGTCCGTAGTCAAGAGCAAAGAGAGACTGTCAAAGGCTGGGGGTGACGGGAGGCAACGTCATGGTCGGGAGTGAGAGGAGACAGTCACCAGTCAGCAGGGATGAGAGACCTGACATATAGGAGACGATGGGAGATTTTTTATCTGCAACCAACCTAATGGAGAAATAGTAAGGATTGTCAGCAGTCTGCATCCCTTTCAATAGACACAGCATCCTCCTCTCTGAAGAATATCCTGAATATTTCATACAACTGTAAGTTCTTGTTAAAGAGAGAATACATTAAAATTTATGACTTGAATATGTCTTTGTTTTGCACTCATTTTTATCTTTTTGGGAATTTTATACACAAGTACTGTGTTCACACCACTCCCTCACTTCTCTTTCTCCTGCACAACAGCATTCAAGACCCCTGAATAATACTTCTCTCTCTCTCTCTCTCTCTCTCTCTCTCTCTCTCTCTCTCTCTCTCTCTCTCTCATTACTGATCTCTTCTTCAATTGTGATTGTTAAATCCATATGTATATAGATAATCTGCTAGGCACATTTAGTGTTACCCTTGTATGTCTGTTTACAGACGACCTATAGAGCCCTTAGCTTCTGCGCGAATAATTCAACATCTGCTACACAAATGATGGCTATCTCTGCTCCCTGGAACTATACCCACAGTTACAAGGAAATGGAAATAACCTAAATGTCCTACAACAGACAAATGGATAAGGAAAATGTGCCACATGTGCACGATGAAACACTATTCAGACGTAAAGAAGAGTGATCCCCATTTCTAAAGTTACTGTTCCACAGTATCTCTCATTTATATTGTTTCAAACCCAAGTTTTATAAAAGTCTCCATTTGCCTTAACTTTATAGGATTATAGATAAGGTATTTTCCTCCCTGCCTCCATGGTCCTTTTCCCTATCATGGATTATGTGAATCTTGATAATGTTCCTTGACATAAATTTTATTTGGAATTCACTGAGCTGTTCGAGTTTGTGGATTGTTAGCTTCCATCACACATAAGAAGAAGATTTAATTGTTATCTTTACAAATTTTCTTCACTGCTTGCTTTCCTTCAGTGAGAATACAATGTGTTACTTGGAACGGATCCTCAACTCACAAATTCTTCATTTAATTTTTTTTTTTTGTTTCACTTCGTATGTTTTCTGTTGGTGGACTCAAGTTAAATAATCTTTTCTTGTGGATCATTCCGTATTTCCTTAATTCTCAACAGAGCATTTTATCCCAGACACTGGTAAATAAAAATCCCAATAACCTCGTTTGGGACATTCAACTGGGATTCTTGTTAGCATGAAGGAAAACACTTTTGTCACTGTTCTGATGTCTGTATCTGTTAGTAGCAGCATCTTGGGTCAGATCCAGCTGATTGCCATCTCTTGTCAGTGTGGCTCTCAGCCTGGGCTTCTCTGCACACATACTGACCTCTGGGCACTGAAACATCTTGCGTTTTCTTTTTTGAGGTTCTGAACTTCTTTATATTCCTATAAATGTTACCAGTTCTCTTCTGAGTCACCGTGAAGTCAGTGGAAGGTAATTTAATTCTTTGGACACTTTCTTTCAAGATTTGCTCACCAAAAATAGGGCATTTAACATAGTGCCAATTATGGTCCAAGAGTCTCTCAGAACTCTATTGAGTATTGCATAAATACAGAAAATTCGTAGCCCCTCTGTGGAACACTGGCGTGCATTTCCATCTTGAACTGAATATCAGAAACCATTTTCTCTTGTGCCTTTCTTTCTCTGTTCTTCAGTAACTTTTGTATACAGATTCCCTTCTGTATGCTTTGCTAAATAAGAGACTGTGTCCCTGAGGAAAACCCTTCTTGTAGATTAGCGTGGGAATTTCAGTGGCATTTGTACACCCATCTTGCCACCACCTTCTCTGTCTTCCTGTGTAATAAATAGTAATTTCCTCCCTTCCCCAAGAAAATGGTTCAAATAGCCTTCCTTAAGAGGGAGGCTACTTCAGGTATAGCATACCACTCCCCAGAGGTGGGAACTCTCAGGCTATATGCACTTTGTCTTGGAATGGCCTTATATTGAGATTAACAACAGAGTTGGAAAGAGTTGCTGTTTTTAAAATTTATTTATTTTACGTATATGAATACACCATTGTTCTCTTTAGATACACCAGAAGAGGGCATCAGACCTCATTATAGATGGTTGTGAGCCACTATGTGGTTGCTGGGAATTGAACTCAGGACCTCTAGAAGGGCAGTCAGTGTTTTTAACCACTGAGCCATCTCTCCAGCTCAAGTTGGAAAGGGTTTTAACAAATGGGACATGTAATTGACCATTCAGTGGAGGATTTATCCCTCCTTTCACATGGCCCCTCCTTATGTCCTAAATGCATCAGCATCTAGAGCATCCAAAATCTTCTTAGAGTGGAGGAGACCCTGTGGCCCTCGGGGATACTGAAAGGGTTTGGGCGATAGAAAGATGACATGCTGAGTCAGCATGGTGTTTAGAGGGAACGCTGACCACCCAGGTTAAGTTCTTTTCAGAGAATATGAGTTGGCAAAGCAATCAAAAAGTCTGAGGGTTCTAGTCAGCAGAACATCTGAGATCAACTGGAATTAAAAGAAAAGTATGTAGAGAAGTAGCCAACACTAGCTGTCCACAGCTACACGTTCCTAAACTAGTTCAATGGGGATAAAATGAAAGACTTGAGGAAATGCATGCAAAGATATTTTTCTAGACTTGGAGAATAGACTAAACAATAAAAGTAAGGCATAGTGGGATCTAGAAAATTGTCTACTAAGACCTTTGCCTTCACAGGTCCAGTGGAAAAGGAATGATGCAAATTAGGTTATAAAATGTGTGATATAGAAACTGGCCAGACACCAGGCTTTGATGAGAATTTGTACAAGGGGATGGTCAGAGAGAATGACCTGCAGTGAAGGACATTTTAAGAAATACAAACTAGCACTAAATATCCTTTTTCTGTGATATATAGATGTTGCTCTGATTCATGGAGAACAAGCATTTGTGAAGACACTGGATCTATGACTCCAGCTTTATTAAAATGTGTATCAGCAGATATAAATAGCCTTACTTTCAGAACAGAACATCACTGATTCATATAACACATTTGGATTGTTAGGAAAATTATCATATAGTTTTATAACTTTGTCCTGAGGAGCCTAGATTAATAATTCATTTCCTTTAATTAAATGGAGTTTATTAAATGTTTTTAAATGTCTAAAAGCATATAAAATCTCCTGAGGAGGCTTAGCTAGTCAGTTTGGAAACTGAAATCAGAACACTCACAGTTCATCTAATTTCTGCAATAAACGTTTTATGTAGCATTGTGATGAAGTATCAGCTGGGAAGGACACACTGACTTGAGGGTAGTGAAACTTTAGACTGAGTCATGAATTAAATAATAAAATAATCTTGTGATGATTTTATTCATCTCAGAAGATAAAAGGCAGACCAGACATTAGAATGGAGGAGAGAAGGCAGAATAGACACCAGGAGAGAAGTGATGTTCACACTACAGTGTGAACTGCTTGCAGGAAATAAATGACGTAAGATTCAAACCTCCCACACTGAGGCTTGGCACTAGATGAAATGGGAAGGTGATACCCAAGAATGTCGGAAAAC